GGTCGGGAACACGGAAGAGCAGCACTTTCTGTGATCCTCGCTCCACTACTCCAAACACCCACGGACCTTCTGAGACTCTCCCTCTCTTATACTTTCTCTTGGCACCAAACTTTGACTCGTCTATTTCCACGGTCTTCCCTAAACCTCCAAGCTTAATTCCAGCATTCAGGACTTTGTTGCAACTCATCACCGACGCAGCTTGTACGTTACAAGGTTAAAAAGTGGCCGATGCGTCGATCGACTGTCGGCTGACAGTCGACCGATACGTCAGCCAACACGTTGGCCCACACGTCGGCCGTGTCGGTAGGATCGGATTCTTTACCTTTACCCAGATGCTCTCGAATCAATATGTTTTCTATTACTCTGAACACTTTATTGCGAATGTTACTCCATGTTTTCTACGAGCAGTACACTTCTCATTCGGCTTGCTATGTATGGCTTCGCTCATTCTTAAAAATGAATGCTAGTTTCTTAAGATGCTGTTGTCTGATCTGGAAGTGTAAACAACATACATTTGAGACATTTTTTCAGATCAAGTAAGTTGCAGGGTAAACAGTAAGTCCTTCCTCAAGCGTTCGAAACGCTTGTTCAGGTTTAAATCTTTCAAATTGAAGCAATGTGAAAATAAATTAAGCTCAAAACAACGAAATCCAAGCTAATAATAACTAAACAAGACGTTATTTTGATGGTTCTTCATTAAATATACACCTTCAAATTTTCTTTGAACACACGCAATCCACCTAATGTGCACTACAAAAAAAATGAATATGTTCTGCTGTGTTCTAAAGATGGCGAAATACGAGAAACAAAAACCCAAATTTTGTATATGGCCGCTTTAAAGGTGGCAACGATGTGTTTGATACAAAAACTCTCAACTTGGCTGATGTTTTGAGTTTTTCACCTTGTGTGATCAACTTTGTTGTTGCAAATAGTAGAGAGGTCTGCTTTGAGCAACAAATTTTGGCTTTGCTGCTCATTCATGTATGATCTTCTATGAAATTTCTCTTTCACCTAATGTGTAGTCCACACTAATGCTTATTAATCTGCACAGGCATTTAGAGCAATTATTGGTTTTGTTATAAAGAGAAGTATCAAAAGGAGAGCATGGGGTTTTCTGAAACAAACATAGAGCTTTGTAAAGTTACTAAAGAAGTTAGTGCTCACAGGTACCTACTCCACCCCAACCCCTTGCTGCATGGCTAATTAATAAATTGAAATTACCGGTAACTAATACACTGAATGCAAATATGGTGGGCTGCTCGGTTGGCACCTGGGCCGAGTTGCATGCAAGTGAGGCTAGTCAGGCTTTGATGTTTTGTTTTGACAATGCTTCCTCAGAAAAGTCTTGCTTCGTCGTCGATCTGGTCTGTTTTTGTTTCACTCTCCCTATGAGTTGTTGTGTTCCTAAATGCCACCAGAAGGAATTGAAATCTTCCACAGCAGAGAAAGTGTTTTTTTTCGTTTCTGCGGTCGCCTCTCAGGGAAAACCGAGGAAGGAAAGTAGTTCACAATCACCAAAGGAGCTGGTTAAGTTTGTTCGTTCAGGCTGGAAGATCTTAGAAAATGTGTAAGCCACTGCATTTAGCTTTAAGTCGTTCTCATTTGGCTCAAAGCATTCATTCGATACAATGATGGGGGCAGTTGAAGTTCACTCACTTGGTTATTACACCATAGTATTTGTTTCATGCGATTCTGTGTGAGTGGACGCGAAGTCAACTTCTTCCTTTGAGACAGAGGATGTTTTTCAAAAGGAGCTTTTCTTTACTTTGGGGAAGGTACTGGCCATGTAAATCGTGTTGGAAAACCACCAGACACCACATAAGCTTGTCATTTTTCTAAGGTCTAATGTGAAATGTAAGGAACAAACTTTAGTTCCTGCGACGATCGTAAACTCCTTTCCTTCGTCTCAACGAATTGCATTGATCCACTATTTTCCCTAAGCTTAAGAGACGAACGGTGGAAAATTTATATCCCTTCTCGTGGCGTTTAGAAACACAGCAGCTCGTAGCCAGAGCTAAATAAAACAGATCAGATCGACGACGAAGCAAAACTTTCCTGAGGAAGCCTTGTCAAAACAAAACATCAAAGCCTGACTAGCCTTGCTTTCATGCAACTCGTCCCGGGCGCCGACCGAGTGGTCCGCCATATTTGCCTTTGGTGTATTAAACAAACATTCAAGTTTGCACCTTATTGCCTTAGCACTTTAGAAGGTGGCAGCCCCCTAAACCATCCCAATAGTGCACTCTGTACTAAAAATGACACAATGTTCAAGGCAAAAACAAATCAAAGGCCCTTGGCTGCCCAGTGTTGCCTAATGTCACTTGTTTAGTGCGAAGAAATCCACTGCCGAACCAAACAAGTGTACTGCAGGTGTAACAGTAGATCAGGATAGGATACATTTTCACTTCTGTTAATTTTATGAACCGCCTTGATCTGGCCCGATATGACCCTTGATTGACAATTAATTTTTCTGATTTATACCAGTTTGCTTACTCTCAGAAAGTGCACATTATATGATAGTTTTTAATTGGCTCATAAATTGTCCCTAAATTATTCTTATGTAAAGGTTGCATTTAGTTTTTAGATTTCAGTATTTGCAACCCTTTAACAAAAGGGTTTCCTTCAACAGATTGTCACACAGTTTAGAATTCCATATCTTCAATTTCAGGAACATTGTTGTTTGCTGCTTTATTTTCTTAGATTGAAATGATACTGATATCAGAAGAATCGAAAACCAGTCAGCGAGAATAAGTTCCGGGTAATTCATGTATTGCTTCAAAGTGTGGGCCATGTTCTCATGCTAGCCTGTGTACATCCGGAGATGCACAGGTTACTCTTGTGCTAAAAAGAAAATGTAAAGTAAACAGAATGGAAGTATGACACTTCCAGTAGCATAACGAATTAATTTGATCTGGCCCTGACCCATGACAGTATATACACAGTGAGATATTGATCATAGCCCTAACAATTAATTTGTTGTGAGTTGTACCTGTGTTCTTATTTGCAGAAATTGTGCTTTAGAGGTTAGTTTTTAATCCACTCATTGTCACCTTTAGATTTTTCTACATGACTGAAACCCATCACTTCAACATTTTAGGCCTGTTATTTGTTGTCACAGGAACTTCAAGAAACCTCCGGAAAGTTTATGGGGACTCAGCGGGTGACTTATCGGGCTCAAAAAGTCACCGGGTTTTTCAAGAAGCAGGCCCCAGGTCCACTTCAGGCAGGACATTACAGGGCTGCAGCAACCACCTCAGATGCTCTGGACAGCTTCATTTAATTTCTGCCATTTCCTGTTTTGTTCCTCCATCTCGTCAACCCATATACTAATCTCTTCTTCTGGTATTGAGGCTTTGGACAAATGGGACTGCAAACAGACTGTTTCCAACCCCTCACCAGTGCCTGCAACCACTGCACACACACCATGACTGGCTTTGTACATGTACTCCCCTCACAACAGTAATTACAGAGACAGTGGCAGAATCAGACTCTTCAAAGTCGTCTCCAATCACCATCGCCATCAATGTGATTCACCCTTACTGTCACTGTGACCATCGTGACCATGGTCACTGCCATCATATCCAGCTTCAATCTGGTTTGTGCACTCACAGATAACACCATAGTGCTGTTACATGTACTCCCCTCACAACAGTAATTACAGAGACAGTGGCAGAATCAGACTCTTCAAAGTCGTCTCCAATCACCATCGCCATCAATGTGATTCACCCTTACTGTCACTGTGACCATCGTGACCATGGTCACTGCCATCATATCCAGCTTCAATCTGGTTTGTGCACTCACAGATAACACCATAGTGCTGTTACAGTAACGCATTAAAAAGTGGCAAGAATATGTGTAGAGATACACCTCTTACTCAAAGACATAATTTGTTTAAATGTACAGCTTCCCATGATCTCTACACTTGTAGATACAGACTTGGATGAATTCTTAGCTACATGTAAATTATGCAAACAGTGCAGAGGAGATTTCGCTATGTAAGGCCTTTCAGTGGACAGCTGTTTCCTCCTACCTAGGAATTGTCAGCATTATGTAAGGCACAGTGGACAACAGGATAAAATTATTGTCACTTCTTCTTCCACCTAGCTCAGTGACTCAACACACATGCATCATGACTCCTCACACACTTGTCTCTAGTAGTCCACAAAATAATGTGTTCCTAATTCTTATGTTGTGATACTGAGGTGGGAGAAATAAGAGCTTTCTTCCATTATTTACTATGTCCTATGAAGTAGGACTAAACACCTCTCCATTGTTAGGATTAAGGGGGTATCATAAGAGTACAAGAGCTATTATTCGAGGGAAGTGTTCATTAGGAACAAATGACAAAACATTTTTGAAGAAAAAATCCATGTGACAACTCTGTTCTTATCCAGAAGAGACACAAAAAAAACACAACTACATGTACACAGCTTAAATTTCACTGTCACTCACTCAGTCTATTTCTCAATTGAGCTGTCTTTGCCCTATTTAATAAACACCACTTTAGAGCTCAGTGATTTAAACATTGGTGCCATGTTTTTGTTTTGGGGTGTTTCTACTCAAAAGACCTGGTGGCACTTACTTAAGTTGAAGTATAGTACCTGACACTCTAGAGGTATATACAAATGCACATGCGCGAGCGTATAGGCAGTCCATTTGTGACCCTCACTCCCAGGTGATGACACAGGCACGTATGCGATAACACGGCACGCTAAGCGTGACATGTAACATTGATATGCACATATAAAAGATGCAAAACAATAAGTGTCATGGTGGCTTTGTTTGGCACGTTTTGACACGCTGAAGCTTTTGTTCAAGTGAACGTGTTGGATGTCACACTAAGCCTGCCATATAACACAGCAAAAGCGTACGATATGACATGGCATTGCTCTGAAAAGGAATAATAGAAAGACCGTACATAACAATCTTATCATCAGGCCAAAAGCGTGTTTGCATCAACCAGCTGAGTTACCGGGAGGTGTTTGATATGAAAAAAAAAACATATAGAAAACTACCAACATTGTTATCTTGCAGAGAAAACTGGAACTCCCCTAAACAGCCAGAATAATGATGCACCTTCCTTTCTGATGCGATCACCACTGTCCACTGTAAACCAGAACATGCAAGTTACATACTGCAGTGGACCCACAGATGAGCAGCAGCGAAAAGTGGAAGCAATAGTCTTCATGGGGTCTCAAGTCATCACCACCGCCATGGTGTGTCTTGAAGCCCTGTTTACAGCCAAAGAGTTAGCTAATGGCAACACATCAGGTTCTAATGGGTACAAGCCACTGGATGACCTGAAGTTACGATTCCTGGCCTCAGCGCTCTGCCAGAAGTTTGATTCACCAGGGTTTCCCGACCAGTGGGAGAATGCTAAAGTGCAAAAACTGTACTTTGTACACTACAGAAATGAACAAACTTTTAGTGCACAAATCTCATGAAAAATAATGAGAACAATATGTAACTGAGAATACTTACCAAGGGAGAGCTTCATTTAATTTAAACTTTACAGCGTTGACTGTAACTTTTCGATCACAGGATGCGCATTGTTGGGTGTTGACTCAGTTTTTGTGTGAAAACAGTTATAACATTTTCAAATGAATCTACATTTTTCTCTCGAAAGGAAATTGTAAGAGGATAAATTTTATTAGTATCTCAGGAAATGTCTGTTTACAAATAAACTGGCTTTCAAAAGTTTTTCCATATTTTTGCTTACAGTTAGTTCCACACTGGTTAATTGCAGTTAACATTTATTTGTTGGAAAGCACTATTTTCACTGTAATGTTTTAGTTTGACTCATTGATTGCATGACTCATAAAAACTGTATTCTCAAACTGACCAGTCATGTGTAAATTGAAATCAAGTGAAGAAGCTAGTCCTAAAAGGGGATAAGTGACGATTTTGGTTGCTTTTCTTTTTTCTTGCTCAAAATTAG